GGTATTTTTGAGCTCTATAAGTCTATAATTGTATGAAACATATATGTGTAAGCTATAGCCATATCTGAAAAGATTTTGACGTACTTTCTTCTAGACTGAATTCAGTCGGATATGCCAAAATTCAGGTCATTTGCACTGATATTGGCCATTTGGTGCACAATTAACACGAAATCGTATGAAGACATACCTGGGAGCTATATCTAAATTTTAACCGATTCTCAACAATTTCAATAGTCTTTTCATCTCAATCGGATAATAAATGTGACGTGCATTTTGTAAAAATGCATGGAAAAACGGATGTACGGAGTGACTGAAATACATGAATCGACTCAGAAAGTGATTCCATAAAGATCCTCAAAAGTAACTATGGGTCTATCTCGCTTTCGTCTCCCTGTTACAAAAAAAATGCACAAAGACATAATACCCTTGCCACTACAGGGTGAGATGAAAAAACTGCAACCAACTTGAGACTGCTGTCATGTCTTAGCCACAAGTGGCTATTGTTAGATCTCTCTAGCATTTAAATGTGAATAAATATTTTGTGTCTCGTACCATCACTCGTTACCGTGATACTGGTAGCGTAGCCCGACGTCAAGGAAGTGGACGCAAAAAAACAGCAACATCAGCAGAAATTGTTCGAAAAGTAAAAACCGACTTGATCGAAATCCGGGTCGCAGTACCTGAAAAATGACTAGTGAGTTGAACATATCGCAATATTCCATTCGGCAAAAATTGAAAAATGAGCACGGGGTAAAGCCATTGAAATTCCAAAAGTGTAAGAACTTACACCGCAACTGAAAGAAAATAGACTAAAAAGCTTCGCTTGGCCGAAAGTGGTAAACTTTCGAATTTGATTTTCTCCGATGAGAAAACATTCGTTGTCCAGCAGTTTGTAAACAAACAAAATGATCGTGTTTACTTGCTCGGCTGAAAATGTGCACCTTCGGTTGGCAACCAGAAGTCAAGCGCCGGCCATGGTGATGGTGTGGGCCGCAAGCGATGGTCGTTCTCCGCTCGTATTAATCGACTGTGGCATCTGAATAAACGCCGAATATTGGGCACACATACATTTTGGCCGCAGACCTTGGACATTCAAAGAGAACTCAGCAACATACCACTCAGCACGCGCCATCGAAGAATGGTTACAAAATGAGGTTCCTCGCTTCATTTCCAGCGCACAATGGCCCCCAAATTCTCCGGATACAATTCCGTTGGACTATTGTGTCTGGATATCAAAATATTAAAGTGTCGATCACCTCAAGCAAGCGCTTCGCCGGGAATGGACCAAAATACCGCAGAGCAACATTCGGGCAGCGTGTGATGGTTTCATTGGCCATTTAAAGGCCATAATTCTTGTCAAAGGTGACCAATTCGAACAAATCCAAACTTATTCTAAAATTTTATGCTATTTCCGACATTTTTTGCATTTATTCAATAAAATTTAAAAAAAAAAAAAAATGTAAAAATTATGGCGTTTGACTTTGTTGCAGTTTTTTCTCACCCTGTATGAAGTGTAGGGTATAAATAGAATCCGTTAAAAATTCTGTTAAAATTTTAAAAATACCGGATACAGGAAGTTGCCATTATTTTGGGATCTATACGAAGGTGTGACAATTTTCTCTCTTGTTTGGTTGTACCCGGTAAATAATGTAGCTAAAATCAATCAAAATATCGAATATCGGGTGGTATCGTTATATGGGGGCTATACGATAACGTGGACCAACATGGTATATTTACGAACTTAACCTGTGGGCAAAATTCTAGCCTTCTATCTCAATTCGTTCGAAAGATAGCGTGATTACAAAAGACAAACAGACGCTGATCAAGAACATATATACTTTTTGGGAGTACATGAGTATTTGAAGGAGTTACAAATGGAATGACAAAGTCAATATAACCTCTATAGTATGGTGGAGGGTATAGAAAAGTAATAGCTACAAATATTAAATTCTTTCAAAATTTGCAATATTTGATTTTCATTGATAGCGTTTTAAATTTTTTAAAATTTCAAATTATAGAGGGAGAATGTTGGGGGTATATTTGGTAACATTTTATTTATCAATCTGGAAACAATCTCTTCAACCCATCTAAATATAGTTTGTCAATGGCTTGATTATTATCACGTTTTTGTTCGATATAAATAGTTTATGGGCTTCTTCAGCGTTTTATCATTTATTTATTGCTTTATTATTATGCATTCCATTCCATATTCCATTGTATGTCTCATTCGATAAACGGATTGCGTCTTTCATCACCGATGGTTTGCGGCAATGTCGAGAGAATTATGCACCTTGCAAATAAAGCCCTCTTGCAGATTTTTTTTTTTTTGTATTTTTGGATAGAGTGAAAGGTATCTCCGCATTTTTGTTTGTATGTAAATTATAACGGCATAACAATAGCATTATAACATCGATGTGGCACAAGCGTCTTTAATTTGTCTAGGTCAGTCAATTTGTTTGCGTGTGATGCTGATAAAAGGCAACTCGAGATGGCAAACACAAAACAACAAATTATGATCGCGTTGATATGCTTCTGTTTGTTTGTTTGTTACAATCGGGTTTGTGAAGATTATCAAAAATATTTGATTAATTGTTAACAAATTATTTAAATTGGACATAAGGAAACACAAGCCATAAAAACAAAAGAAGATCGTTAACGTGATAACGTCTTTAATCTCGGACATTACATGCATTTAAACTTGTGAAGTTCCAGATGGGGTGTTGAAGTGTATGTTTTTTCACGGGAGTGCAGTCATATTAAATGAGGGCCTTTTTTAAAATAAACGTCAACAATAAGCGGCAAACTTGATGGTCGGTTTAGTTAAAACATTTCAGCACAAGATAATTAATGGACTTATGAGAATCTTTAGAAGTCGTTTAGTGTACAGGCAGGGCAAGTTCAAAGATGGTCTATATAGGTCCGCAATATCGTATATCCCCCTACAACGGTACTTCCTTATATTCGATATTTTGATTATTTTAGGCACATTTTTCCAAATTTGCCTATGCAGGTCCACGTCATCGTATACAAACGGCTATATTCGGTATTTTTAAGATTATAACAGAATTTTTAACGCATATTATTTTTTTTTAATTGCCAAATTCGTTCCAAATGGTGGAGGGTATTCAAAGTTTGACCCGGTCGAACTTATAGCTTTTTTACTTGTTTTTTTTTAATGTGTTCTCATCTTTCAGCTGAAGCACGATTAGTATAGAATATTAAATTGACAAAAGTCATGCGATATAAAAAATTAGGTAAAAAAAAATTGTCTACCCAAATTATCAGATTGCTGTCAATACCTTGGGTACCATATATCAAAAATTCAAGAATTCGAGGACATTTTAATTTGGTAATTTCAAACCAGTAAACAAAGGTCAAAAGTCGGGCGGGCCGACTATTTATACCCTACACCACTATGCGTATCTAGTAGAGCCCCCTTAACACTATTTAGGAACTATATCCAAACCTAAATCGATTTTCAACAAATTTGACGATGGCTTTTGTAACTCTTGTAGCAAAGAACATGTATGATCTGATTTCGATAAAGATTATATTAAAAATATATGCGGAAGATATATCCAAATCTGAACAGATTTAAAATCAACTATTTTTGGGATTTATCTGATATCTGGTACCAAATATCATTCCTGTGGAGTGCATATTATGTGAGGGACTTAAAGACCAAATCGGATTAAATATATATATGGGAGCTATGGCTGTATCTGAACCGATTTTTACTAAAATTGGTGTACTTGCTTCTAGGCTGAATTCGGTCCGAGTTGCCAAAATTCATGCCATTTGTGCTGATATTGGCCATTTGGTGCACAATTAACCCGAAATCGAAGATATATATGGGAGGTATATCCAAATCTGAACAGATTTTAAGAAAATTAAAATCAACTATTTTTGGGCTTTATCTGATATCTGGTACCAAATATCATTCCTGTGGAGTGCATATTACGAATGTGAGGAACTTAAAGACCAAATCGGATGAAATATACATGTAAGGGAGCTATAGCTGTATCTGAACCGATCATCTTTAAATTTGATTTGCTTGCTTCCAGACAGAATTATATCTAACTGTCAACCGATTCTCACCAATTTCAATAGAGTTCGTCCTTCGTCATCTCAATCGGATAATAAATGCGACCTGCATTTTGTTCACAATAATACAAGGACAGACGGACGGAGGAAGGACAGACGGACTGACATACATCAATCAACTCAGAAAGTGATTCTATGGAGATCCTCAAAAGGAACTATGGGTCTATCTCGCTTCCTTCTCCATGTTACAAACAAATGCACAAAGACATAATACCCTTAGCACTATGTGGTGTAGGGTATAAAAATATGGTAGAGGGGGAAATTCCACCCTTTGAGATATTCCACCCATTGTTAACTTTCAAAACGCCA